CTGTTACTCGGCTGACGAGGGAGAAAGAGAATCTTCACACTGTCCGTAAGGAGTATGGGATTTAATGGCTCCAGAGAAACTTACCCTGGCGATAGCAGCTGGTTCGGCGTTGACTGCTCTGTTCTGTATCACCTGCCTGTGGATGCGTAGAGGCGATCAAGGAGTTATTAAACGAGTACACGAAACACCCTGTCGCTTGCGGGCCTGAATGTTAACGGCCTGGGAGATTTCACGAAGTGGAAACGTACAACGGCATGGATTAATAGCAAAAAAGGAGCAGATGTAATGGTTTTGTCAGATACCCGAATAGCAGATGATCACACTTACTGGCCTTCTCTTAACCTCACCTCTCGTGCTGTCGCCTCGTCTGTGACACGGGCTGGTGATGTTGCAGTCCTGAGCCGGCGACCAGATCTATCTTTTCACAACCTATTAGCTCACCCCTCCGGACGTCTAGTTAAGGTGGAAGTCCACTGCTCGAACCTTCGCCTTACTTTAATAGCCACTTACCTTCCTGCAGACAAAGCCGAAAAAAGAGCCTTCATTAGATTAGTACTTGGTCCGGTTATTAACCACATCCAGTCAGGCACTCACTTGCTCATCCTAGGAGATTTAAACACCATAGAAAATCCACTGCTTGACAAGACCTCCCGCCATGGATCAACAAGAGAAAACGACTTCCTCTATCATCACTGCAGAGATTTTGCTATCGCAGATGCTTTCCGCTTTCTCCACCCAAATGATCGAGAATTTACCTTCTATTTGCAGGCGCATCAGGAGAGCACACGGATTGATCGAGCTCTGGTTTCTCAATCCCTGCTCCCATGCCTGATGTCGGCTGAGCATGTTTCACCAGACGAGCAAGTCTCCGACCATGGTTTTGCCATCCGTGCACTTTTCAAGCTTAAGTCGCAGTTGAAGCTGGGTCCGGGTGTTTGGCGTCTTCACCCTTCTCTGTTGGGGAGACCAGGGGCTAAAAAGAAAATCGAGGAAGTGGAGCGATTGATCACACAGAATGGAGGGGGGTTTGCGTCTCTCATCTCGCGCCTGAGCAACAGTCTGCGATCATATGCAAAAGAGGAAAGCAAGAGAATAAGGGCGACCATCAACCATCTCACTACAACGGTGGCTGCATTGCGTCAGGAGGTCATGCAGAACCCCAAAGATCAAGTCATGAAGGAACGGTTGGGGAGACGGGAGCAACAACTTAAGGAATACTTCGCATGTCGGCAGGAGAGAATGCATACAATGGCTGGGATGGAGCTTGCATTGTCAGGGGAAGTCCCCTCGCCAAATCTGTCAGCACGCATAAAGACACGGAAGGTCAAAACGCAGATAGCGGAGATATCGGTACCAGGAGGGGTGGTGACGGAACCAAAGGGGATTCTGGAAGCAGCTGCAGGGTACTTCCGTAGCCTCTTCGGGGAGGACAAGCGGACAATGTCTTCAGACTGGTGTCCAACGGCTGGGAAGAAGCTGCTGTATTCGGATGTGGAAAATCTACAGGCGGATTGGTCAGAAAAGGAAGTCAGGCAAGCGCTGAAGGAGATGGCAAGTAACAAGACGCCTGGGAAAGATGGGTTACCGAAGGAGGTGTTTGAGCTGCATTGGGACACGCTAGGGAAGCATGTCATGGGGCTGGCTCAAGACTTCGCTCTCACCTCTATACTCCCGACCAGTGTGAAGGATGCGGTGACGATACTCCTGCACAAGAAAGGAGCAAAGGACCAGTTGGATAACTATCGTCCTATCACGCTCCTGAACATCAGCTACAAAGTGTTGGCGCGAGTCCTGGCGAGCAGAATTAAAAAAGTTCTTCACAGAGTGATCTCATCGGAGCAGTTCGGTTATATTCCGGGGCGACGAATGTCAGATGCAGTGGGGCTGGTCGCTGATATCATTGATGCGGCCAAGAATGGGAGAGAAGACTGGTATATGGTGTTGGTTGACTTCAAGAAGGCGTTTGACTCGGTGTCCCGCGACTTCATTTTTGACGTGATGGGGAAAATGGGTTTCCCGGCTCGGTTCGTCGGTTGGGTAAGAGGCCTGCACACAAACACACGGACGAACCTCTTGATCAACGGCTGGATGGGAGATGCAGTGGAGGTGGTTTCAGGAGTAAGGCAGGGTTGCCCCTTAGCACCCTACCTCTTCCTCTGTGCGGTGGAGCCTCTGGCGCAGAAAGTGATAAAGCGGAAGATTGGAATCTTGCTCACCAGCTGCGTCGGTTAGAGGTTGGGCTACATTGGTTATGCAGATGACACGACTCTCCTGCTACAAGGAAAACAACAAATTGGGAAGGCGGAGGAGGTGTTAGAGGAGTTTAAAGAAATCTCGAGATTAGAGACGAACAAGGGGAAGTCAGTGGTGATGCCTTTGGGAGCTAACCTGGGGAAAAAGACTTGGCGGACCGACGGGTTTCATTGGGCAGACGCTAACGAAGCTGAGAGACTCCTTGGGGTGTGGATTACACCGAACGAAAGTTGTCAGCCGACGTGGGATAAGGCGCTGCAAAAAATTGCTGGGAAAATGACGTTGTGGCAGCCGCAATTCCTCCCGATTAAGGCTCGGACAGCGGTGATGGACGGGTACATACTGCCGATTGCTTGGTCCCAGGCTCAGGTTTATCCGCCGCCTGCGCAAACCTGGAGAGAGATCACGAAAATGACGCAGAATTTCATGTCAGCGAACAAGGTCTCATCGGAGAAATGCTTCAACCTCTGGAGCAAGGAACTCCTGTTCACACCGGTACTGGAAGGGGGAGTGGGAGCGAAGAATCCTGAAGCGATGCTCACCTGCTTGATGGCGAGGAGGATTGGACTGATACTCACGGAGACGGATCAATTAAAGAGAGAGCTGATGCGTCAGGCGGCTGACTTGCCAAGAGGAATGGAAACATTCATGGCACATGAGAAGCTGTTGAAGGCATGGGAAGGGAAAAGCGAGCGCTGGAAGCTAGCTTGCGCAAATTTCATGCGGTCCCCGCTGGCAAAAACCACGGAGGAGCGAGAGGTTAAGGAGCTGCTGCTGGAGAGGATCACGTTTAACAGACATATTCTCATGAACGGAACCACGCCAGTAGGAGGGCAGAAAGCGGCGACAAGGCTTCTGAACGTCAGACTGGGAGATCTTGTCGGGAGAGATGCAAAAGGGAAAGGGGTGCTGAAGAGCCTTGAAACCCTAGAGAGAGAGCTGCGGGGGAAGGACTCGGCAAACCTTGCGCTCAAGGCTTTTGCGGTTGCGCCAGAATCGTGGAAGAACCGGCTCATCTCGGCTGATCTTCCGAACATGAGCTTTGCGGACGAGTATGAGGTGAGAAGAGGCGGCCCTTTGCAGCTCCGGAGGAAGCTGTTGGCAGATGGAATACCGGTTCTGCTGCGGTCGCTCCGGAAACACTGGAAACATGGCAACGGTGGAAAGAACAAGCGGGAGAAATGGGCAAGTCGGTGGGGCGGCACCATTGATTGGGAAAAGGCAGTCCGGATTCGTGAATCGCTGGTCACCCCAAGTCGACCGAGGGACGTCCTGCTGCGAATACACTGCCTCAACCTACAAGTGGGGGAAAGACTGGGATTTCTCAGTAGCAAACCAGTCTGCCCGCATTGTGGGGGGTTTGAGACACTGGAGCACTGTCTTGTGGAGTGCCCGAAAATTCAGGGGGTGGTTTCGGCGGTAAAAAAAGCATTGCGGATGATCAACCCGGGAAGGAAAGGAGACACACTTGGCGAGTGGCTGTTTGGCAAGGAGGGGTCCCAGTCAGCATTTCCCGAGGCCTCATTGGTTGCGATTGCCGTGCACCAGTTGTGGGCGGAAAGATGTGAGGGAGCCTTCAGGGGCTGTAAATTCCGCACGCGGAGAGTCCTCCGGAGGATTGAGTCTGCCCTTCGCATGCATGTCAACGTTTACGTGCGTGCCTCGGCAACAAGGATGCAGCAGCGAGGGAAAGTTCAGCAGGCCAGGTGGCAGAAAGTGACGGGGCAAGAACGTGACCTTCTGAATCGCATCAGAGTACTCGACGGCAAAAGTTGGAAGTGGTCCAACAGTTTCGCGGCAATTTGGGGCAAACCTCGCAGGCCCCGGATCCATGTCTGAGGATCGAATTCTCTGAGGCGGGACTTCCTGTCTCCAATGCACAGTTACGACTGTTTATGCGTTGTACACTTGTGTTCTGGTGTATAATTCATATAAGCAAAAAAAAAAAAAGACGCCGAATTACTGATTGGAGCACTTTATAGATTCCATTTATGAGAAAAAAAAAACTCTAAACATAAACAATAATGAAGCATAAGACTAGCAACTAGCCCACCTTGGTCAGGCAAGTATCTGGCTTGCAGGTAGCGAGTAGTTGCAGCAAGCACAGACGCACAGTCAAGCTTTACCAAGAGCACATCAGCAGCGGTGCTTTCAGCGAGGAGCCAGCAGTTTGTTAGTTCAGGGGCATATGGAAGCAACAGTGCTTGGAGAGTGTTACGGCAGCATATGGCAGCATATGGCCGCCATGTTAGTGGTTGTAATGGCAGACTGTCACATGGGGTTCGTTACTCAGGCGGAAGAACAGGGGAGCGGGAGTTTGAAAGGGGAACAGGGAGGAAAGGTGATCCCATAAGTTCCGCTGCCGCTGCTATTGCTGCTGCTGTTGCTACTGCTGCCTAACTCTTTCTGCTTCATCCATGCTTGTGTCCCCCTCATCATCATCCTCCTCATCATCATCATAATCATCGTCATCATCATCCTCGTCACTGTTCCCGTCGTCCTCGTCATCAAAATCCTCGTCATCATCGTCGTCTTCCAGGTCATCGTCATCGTTATCCGAGAAATTGTCGCCGTCGGATCGGTGCGACGGGCTTCTCTCGTCGTCAGGCGGGTTGAGCATGCGGTTGATCTGCTGCCCGAGAGCCACCCAGCTGCAAAGGGAATGAGAGTAAAGGTGAATGAAAAGGGAGGAGAATGGCATGAGTGAGATGATCTGACAAAAAACCAGGAGGGAGTGCTAATATCTGCTAAGCATGTGATTTATTTGATAGAGCAGGACTCACTGTCCCAGTAGATGGCATTGCCCGTCCACATGCAGGCGAGGAGAGAGCCAAGGCAGCAGCAGCTGATAGGGGAGAACTCACTGGTTGAACAGTTGGCCGACGAAGGCCAGGCCGACAGACAGAGCCATGACGAGCCCGAGAGTGCCAGCGAAGTTGGAAGACATGTCCCAATCGATGGCCATGGCCAATGCGCATGCGAACAGCACCACCTCTGCGCCTGAGCTCACTGCTTCCACCACCTGCAGGCCTTGCTCCGTGAAGGGCTGTTGGGGAGGGTGTGGAGCAGGGGGAAGGGTGGAAAGGGGAGAGAGTTGTGGAGAAGTTGGAGGACATGTCCCAATCGATGGCCGTGGCCAGCGCACACGCGGATAGCACCACCTCTGCCCCTGAGCTCACTGCTTCTACCACTTGCAGGCCTCTCTCCGTGAAGGGCTGTTGGGGAATAACACAGGGAGGGTGGGGAGACAGGGATTTGAGTCCAAAGAGGTTTGCATTCTCTGAGACCACAGCACATCCGCTGCTCCTGATCTCACTACCTGCACCACCTGCAGCCCTCGCTTTGTGAGATGAACTCAAAGGAGGACTGCGCTTATAACGAGTGTGAGGCGGACCTGGAGGAAGAGCAGGTGCAGCAGGTGAGGCCGAGTGGGCATGCTTGCTGTGCGGACGTGAAGGAAGACTGTGCTTATAACGAGTGCAGAATGCACCTGGAGGAAGACTGTGCTTATATCAAGTACAGAACGCACCTGGAGGAAGACTGTGCTTATAACGAGTACAGAACGCACCTGGAGGAAGAGCAAGAAGAGCAGGTGCAGCACGGAGAGGGTGAGCAGACACGCTTGCTGTGCAATGGCGTTGCCTGTCGGACTCCATGCCCCCACCAGCGCCCCCACCAGCACCTGCACACAGCGAGAGACAGACACACGTGCAACACAGAGAAGAGAAAGGATTTTTTGAGAGTGTGTGTGTGTGTGCATGGGAGCAGGTGCAGTAGCGCAAGGGCTTTCTGTGCCACGGCGTTGCCTGTCGGACTCCATGCTCCCACCAGCGCTCCCACCAGCACCTGCACACAGCGATAGGCAGATACAGAGAAGAAGAAAGGGCGAGCACGCATGCTTGTGTGTGTGAGCGTGTGTGTGCACGGGAGCAGATGCAACAAGGCGAGGGCGAGCACGCATGCTTTCTGTGCCACGGCATTGCCTGTTGGACTCCATGCTCCCACCAGCGCTCCCACCAGCACCTGCACACAGCGAGGCACACACAGACAGACACACAGACATGTAGAGAGGCAGAGTGAATAAAGAAAACGTGGGCCAAGGTGTGTGTGAGCGTACACCCTCCACAAACAGCACTTACGTTCCATTTTTAAGAAAGTAGGGTGTGACAATGGAGGTACCCTACAATGTAGGTACATTAAATGAAATGACATAGAATGGACTCACTGAAGCCGTGCCTACCATTTCAAGGAAGTACAGAATGCCATAAGCAGCAACCCTTACCATTTTTAGAAAGTCCAGGGTGCCATAAACAGCCCTCAGTCGGTCCTTCAGCACCCCTCAGGCGCCCACAGAGCCCCACACTGGCACGCGGCACGGGAGAAACAAGAGAGAGGGGGGGTAGAGATGATAAGAAGATGAAACAAGGACAAACTGAAAAGGTGATTTCGCGAGTGGGGTTGGCCCATATGTGAGAAGAGTGTGCTTCGAACAAAATACGGCGCTTCAGAGTTACACGTTACAAGCGTGATTGTTACGTAAAAGAGAAGTTCAAACCAGAGTGAACCAGAGGTTCAGTACGCTGCAGCCTCACCTCCCCCTCAGCATCTCACGTGCTCCTGAAACCCGTCACCTGTGAACTCATCAACCCCTCACCTGTAAAGTCTTCAAAGAATATGCCGAATCTCGGAAGGAAGTGCTTCTGCGACGGCGTGATGGTGACCCAGTGGCCCTTGAGTTGCTTCTGGCGCAGCACGGCCCAGAAGGCGCGGGCGAAGGAGGCGATGCACGCCTCGTTGCGCGGCTCTGTCATCTCGCGCACGAAGAAGCACGCGAATTGCCCCTGAAAAAAGGGAAGGGAGGGAGGGGAAAGAGGGGAGGGGAGGGGAAGGAGGAGATAGACGGGCAGAGGAGGGAAAGGGGAGAGGAGAAGGTGTTTGGGGGACAGAAGGAGGAGGTGGTTTATGGGACTTGAGAAGATGGTTCTATAAGCCGCTTCTGCCGCAGCACGGCCCAGAAGGCGCGGGCAAAGGAGGCAATGCACGCCTCGTTGCGCGGCTCGGTCATCTCGCGCACGAAGAAGCGTGCGAATTTCCCCTGAAGAAGGGAGATGGGAGAGAGAGGAAGGGGAGGGAAGAGAGAGCGGAGGTGAGGATGGGGTTCCGTCATCTCGCGCACGAAGAAACGCGCGAATTGCTCCTGGAGGGATTGAGAGGGGTGAGGAAGGGTGGAGAATGAGAGTGGCTAGGGTAGGGGTGAGAGACATCTGAAGATGCATTCCTCGTTGCATCTTTGCACGGAGCGGAGGTGAGGATGGGGCTCCGTCTTTCCTCGTTGCATCCTCAATTCGCACAAAGAGGCGCGCGAATTGAGGCGCCTCAAAAGAGACGCGCGAATTGCTCCTGAAGGCAAAACAGGGCGGAGCGGGAGGAGGGACGGACGAGAGAGGGGAGGTGAGGACGTAACCTCTTCATCTCCTTCACAAAGAAGCACACGAATTGGACCATACAACCAATTAGAGTTTAGGGTGGCGCGAACAATGCTTCGGACCCGACCCTCCCAACCCAACCCAACCCCCCACCGAGCACCCCACCCAAACCCCCACCCCACCGAAACCTGCACCCACACGCACCTGAACGACAATGTATCAGTCGGCCGAGAAGGAGAAGATGAGGAAGAGCACGGGCCAGAGGCACAGCACTATCACCCCTACCGCCAAACCTGCTGCTCAACCAGCACTTGTACCCACCGGAACCACTCTTAACTGAACCCACCCCAACGCACCTGGACGACAATGTATCAGACGACCGAGAAGGAGAAGATGGGGAAGAGCACGGGCCAGAGGCACAACATTGTCACCCCCACGAGTTGGAAGAGCGCAACACGCACCCCTGCTATTAAACCCACTAGAACCACGCATTTGCCCAACCGAACCAGATTCAACGCACCTGGACAACAATGTACCAGACGACCGAGAAGGAGAAGATGAGGAACAGAACCGGCCAGAGGCACAGCACGATCACCCCCACCGTCAGCCCACCCTTGAACCCACCAGAACCACGCTAAACCCAACTCAACCCACCTGGACAGCAATGTACCAAACGATCGAGAAAGAGAAGATGAGGAAGAGCACGGGCCAGAGGCACAGCACAATCACCCCCACCGCCAGCCCACCCTTGAACCCACCAGAACCACGCTCAACCCAACTCAACCCACCTGGAAAACAATGTACCAAACGATCGAGAAGGAGAAGATGAGGAAGAGCACGGGCCAGAGGCAAAGCACAATCACCCCCACGGCAAGCCCTGCCGCCGTTCCTCCCGCCTCCATGCTGCCTCGGATGAGCAGCGTGCAGCCCCAGGAGATGCCGGCCAGGGAGAGCGCGAGGAGGAGGAGGAAGTGGAGACCCACAGCCAGCACCTCTTTCAATCACCCACACACCCACCAATCTGTCCGCACGCCAACCCAACCCCACTGAACCCAACAGCACCCACCTGAACGACGATATACCAAACGACAGAGAAGGAGAAGATGAGGAACAGAACCGGCCACAAGCACAGCACGATGACCCCCACGGCCAGCCCGGCCGCCGTTCCTCCCGCCTCCATGCTGCCTCGGATGAGCAGCGTGCAGCCCCAGGAGATGCCGGCCAGGGAGAGTGCGAGGAGGAGGAATTGGAGGTGCGGCGGGTGGAGGAGGCCGGAGAGGCAGTGGTGGCGGCAGTGGTGCCAGGCGCACTAGATGAGGAGGTGCAGGAGGGAGAGGGCAGAGAAGAAGAGGGCGAACCAGAAGAGCACCGTGCAGAACTGCTCAAAGCTGGCAGGGTGGGGGGGGAGGAGGGGGGTAAGGGAGGGGGAGAGGGATGGGGAGAGAGAAAAGAGAAGCTGGGTCCGGTTGAGCCATTGGGGGGGAGGAGAGAAGAGGGAGAGAGAGCGCAAGGAGGAGGAACTGCAGGCGCGGCGGGTGGAGGAGGCCGTGGAAGCAGTGGTGGCGGCAGTGGTGCCAAGCGCACTGGATGAGGAGTTGGAGGAGGGAGAAAGAGGAGAAGAAGAGGGCGAACCGGAAGAGCACCGTGCAGAACTGCTCAAAGCTGGGGTGGGGGGAGGAGGGGAGGGGGGTGCAGGGAGGGGAGAGAGGTGGGGAAAGAGTGGGGAGGACTGAGGAATTAGGATGGGGGGGGAGTGGGGAAGGGGGTTGAGTGGGGAAGAGGGGAAGGTTGAGGAGAGAAAGAAAGAAGCAGAGCGGTTGGGCTGGGTTGAGCGCAAACCACGATGGGATGGGACTATGCAGGACAGCCAAACCCGAGGAGCTGAGGATCTGAGAGAAATACATTGAGGACGACACATGGCACAAGTCATTCAGCAAATCGCAAGGCCGCCTGCTTACTCATGGTAGGAGTAGAAGAGGTTTGGGAAGTGCGAGTAATAAGCACCACGGAGCAGCAGCGGAGTATGAGCACATGGCATGGGTCATACAGGCTACAGCCATGCGGAAGGGTCGCTTACCCATGGTAGGAGTAAAAAAGGTTGGGGAAGTGCGAGTAGTAAGCATCGCCCCACGCTTGCATGTACTCATACTCCTCGCTCAGCCGTGGCAGCTGCGTCGGGTCAAACCCCTTTGCTGCTGCCACCGCTGCTGCATCCCCCCCTGCCCCGCCCCCTATCAGAGCAGTTGCGTTGAAGCCACGGTGACCGCTTGCAGTGCTTTTGATGGTGGTGTTGGCGGTCGTTTCTTGAAGCATGCGGTGATAGTGGGTGGGCGGATGAGATGATAGGGACGACGGGAGGAGAGTATGGGATGGAAAGGCGAAGTGAAGGGTGGAGGGTAAGGAGGAGGGGAGTGATGCGGGTTTCAAGGGCACGCCTCGTAGGAGGAGCGTGGGTGGGGGCGAGAAGGGGATGGGTTGGATGGGGAGGGCTCAGGACGATCCCAGGCTGCGGCCGTGGGACAAGGTTGAATGCGATAGGCTTGAATGTGACATGGCATGCCGCATGTGCACATGTGACGTGGTTGGTTGCCGTGCTTTCATGTGCGCGTGGGCATGTGCATGGGGCGGCAAGGAGTCGGCAGTATTGAAGCGGTCGCGGAGAGAGGGAGAGGAGTGCACAGCGTGTGAATGGGGCATACGGTGGAATTGCGAGGGCGAGGGAGAGGAGAAAGAGGAGAGGAGGGAGTGGAGAGAGGAGGAGAGGACGCGGCGAAGGTTGCGCGGGTGGAGGGGAGAGTGGGACTCGTGGAGGGAGGAGTCTGTTACTGTGCTGTGTGTTGCTGTGCTGCGCGCTGCTGCTGTTGTGCTGTCAGCTGCTGTGCTGGCTGCTGCTGCTGGAGAGGAGAACGTTGACCAGGAAGAGAGCCTGTATTGTGTGGAGTCAGAGGGGATGAAGGAGGGGGAGGAGGCGGCAGAGCTGTCTGTCCTGGTGGCGAGATAGTGCCTGGTGGGAGGGAGGGGAGGGATGGGGAGGGGAAGAACAATGGGTTAGAGGTCGGAACTGAGGGCTGAGAGGGGTTGAGAGAGCAAGAGGCGGCAGAGCTATCCGTCTTGGTGGCAAGGTAGTGCCTGGTGGGACGGAAGGGAGAGATGGGGAGGGAAAAACAATGGGTTAGAGGTAGGGACGGAGGGGTTGAGATGGGCTGAGGGGGGTTGGAAGAGGGGTTGAGGCAGCGCTGTCTGCATTGGCGGCGAGATTTAGCCTGGTATGTGGGAGGGGAGAGACGGGGAAAGAGGGATGGAGGCCGGTGTTGAAAGCGGGGTGATCTTTGAGGCGCCTCAGAGGGGAGAGACGGGGAAAGAGGGATGGGGGCCGGTGTTGAAAGCGGGGTGGGCGAGGCATGGGACGCGACTCAAGTATTGAGAGCAGGGAGGTGCGCTCAAGCATGAGCGCTAAGTGAAGATTTTCCCTAAGCAATCATGGCACACAGGAGGGCAGAGAGGTGCTGTTCCCCTACCTGCCCAGGTGCGTCGGTGGAAGAGGCATATATACACGCCCTTCCACCCATCAAACGAGCATGACTCGACAACATGTGACTCAACAGCATGTGGCTCATACGGATTGATTTGCGACAGGCATCAACACCAAGTACTCACTGCGCACAGGAAGGAGGGGCGGTGCTGTTGTCCTGCCCGGGTGTGTCAGTGGGAGAGGTGTGAACGCCCTTCCAGCCGTCAAAGGAGCCCCTGAAGGGCGTGGGGAGGTAGAAGTAGGTCCAGCGCAGCCCCCCTGTGAGCTGGCGGTAGAAGAGCGGCAGCACGCGCACTGCTAGGTTCTGCGTGAGAGCAAACACTTGCAGATGCAGGGCCATGCGCTGAGGGGGGAGAACAAGGGGAGTGTACAAGGGGAATGGAGAGGGAGAGAGAAGGATTTAGCCCCCCTGTGAGCTGACGGTAGAAGAGCGGCAGCACCCGCGCTGCCAGGTTCTGCGTGAGAGCAAACACTTGCAGGTGCAGGGCCATGCGCTGCAGGGAAATGGGCGGGGGGAAGGGTGAGTGGGGAAGGGTGACAGGGAAGGGAGACAAGGAAATGAGAACAGTGAGTGGGGACACGCAAAGACATGCCATGACATGCCATGCCATGCCATGCCATGACACATCACTTACCCGAATGCTCCTGGAGGGGAGACGACAGCTCGGAAGGGGCGGTATGAGACGAGACGATGCGAATGGTGGGCAAGGAGGAGGTGGAGTCGGCCGGACCGGGCTGCACCAGTCAGTCACCATCTCGCAAATGGTGGGCTGCTTGATGGTGACTGACTGGAGTGCTGAGCCTCTCACACACACATTGCTGGAGAGAAATCAGAGAAGAAAGCTCACCAGAATGTTCGTGGAGGGATCAGCCCCCACCACGGGCGTGCTAACGGCATGGAGTCCACCCCACCACTGCCGTAACCACCCACGCTGCTATCGTGCCCGCATCGCCTGGGGCGTCTGGTGCAGGAGAGGGAGAGGGAGAGGGACAGGGAGAACACGGGGCAGGAGGGGGGGAAACGGGGGTGGGAGAGTGGGAAAAAACGGGGAGAGAAGGGAACAGGTGAGGATGGGGAAGCAGGGGCAGCATGGGGAGGAGGTGGGGTCGGACTCTTTGATGGTGACTGCAAGGGAGGGAGACGGCTGCTGTGGAGAGTGCGATCCAGCCCACGACAACCGTCACCACCCACGCTGCTATGGTCCCCGCATCTCCCGGGGCGTCTGCATGGGTCCAGAGAGAGAGGAAGGGGGGAAAGAGAGGGGAAGAGAGGGGAAAAAGGGGCAGAGAGTGCCAAAAAGGAAGGGGGAACGGGAGGGAGGATGGGGAAAAGAGGGGAGCATGAGGAGGTGGTGGGGTTGGACACCTTGATGGTGAGAGAGCTGTCCACCCCACCACTGCTGTCACCATCTACGCCGCTATGCTGCCCGCGTCTCCTGGTGCGTCTGGTGCACTAAAGCATTAGAGGCGGAGGGAGAGGGGAGAGCAGAAGGGGGAAGGGAGGGAAAAGGGGGAAGGGAGGGAAAAGGGGGAAGGGAGGGAAAAAGGGGAAGGGAGGGAAAAGGGGACAGGGAGGGAAAAGGGGGCAGGGAGTGCGACGGGGGTAGAGAGGGGACAGCAAGGGGAGGAGAGGGAAAAACGGGAAAATGGAGAACAGGGGCGAGCACAAGGAGGTGGGGTTGAAGTCATTGATGGTGCAGGGAGTTTTTGAGAATTGTCAAAAACTCCCAGCAAGGGAGACCGCTGCTGCTGTTGAGCGAGCCATCCCACAACGGTGGTGCGCTGGGATGGGGAGAGAGCAGCACTGTGTGAGGACTGCGTGATATAAAAGTGTGCAAGGGAGAGTGTAAACCCACAATATATGAAAGAGGAGAGTGCGTGCTAACCAGCAGTGAGCAAGGGAGAGTGTTAACCCAGTGTGTGAGGGAGAGTGAGAGTATGTTGGAACATACAGTGAGTGAGGGAGAGTGTGTTAGAGGGCGTGTTGAGGTTGCCTGCTATGTCCACCACCTTTGCTGCCGGCACCGATACAGTCACATGGCCATTGCTCACTGCTGCCACCGTCACCTCGTAGTACCGCCCCAAACCCCTGTCCACTCCTGTCCAGCTGGAACAAGGGAGATGGCAGGATAAGGAAGGCATGGAGGGGGGGGATTGAGAGGGATGAAGGGAAAGGAGTACAGTGATCACTCACTGCTGCTACTGTCACCTCGTAGTACCGCCCCAAACCCCTGTCTACACCAGTCCAGCTGGAAGAATAAAGGGAGATGGCAGGGTAAGTGAGAAGGGAGATGCTTTGCCTTGTCTGTCCATTGCTGCTACTAGTACGAAGGACCGTTCGAGGGAGATGGAGAGGGGTGACAGGAAAAGAATACAGTCACATTGCCATCACCACCTGCCACCATTGTCACCTCGTAGTACCGCCCCAAACCCTTGTCAGAATATGATGGGGGCATGGTGTGGGGAGATGGAAAACGGATGAAGGGAGAAGAGAACAACACAAAGACATGTCACCGTTGCTCACTGCCACCACTGTCACCTCGTAGGACCACTTTGAACCACGTGATAGGCGCATGCGCGCATGTCCCATGCCTTGCCGTGCCATACCAGCAGCCGTTATCTCACTGAAGAGGCGATGAGACCGTTGGAGAGCTGGATAGAGGAGCTGTTGAATTGAATCCCAGCACAGGCTCTGAGAATGAGACGATGAGGATGAATGGGGTGGACCCTGTTGTTCAGGATCCGTCACTTTGAGAACTTACGACGAACTCATTACTCAACTAAACACAAATCCGCTCGGTAGGATTGTGCGCCTTAGGCTTAGCTACCATCTCTAAGTTGAATCAGTCTTTAAGATGGTCTAGAGAGTGAGAACCATGTAAAAAACGTCCAGCAGCCGCATAACTAGAATGGTAGAGGAACTACAAGCATGTAGGCATAGAAAGTTGGAGTTGGGAACCTCCAAGATAACCATGAGAGGGAAGGGGTTCTCCAAGAGCTAGGGAAGGATGGTAGGAACCTTCCTAGCAGCAAGGATGCAACCCTCATCATGAGGTCCTTGAGGTTTCACATGCAAAATCCAATCTAGTTGGATTTTGCCTAGGTGTTGCAAAATTTGCAACCCATGCTAGAAACTTCTAGCCACCCCAATCCAAAAGTCAAAGTTGCCTTCCCTAACCACCCAACCAAAGATCCCTTTATAGTCATGTCCCAAGTAATCACCCAAATTAGATATAACCCCAAAAGGTAATAAGAAATCCAAGTCTTGGAAATCTTGTAACTTGGGCGATCTTGGTCGGAATAAGGCGATCTTGGTATCGTTGGAAAGCTCTGGATTTCTCCTGCATGATCAAGCATTTAGACTTGGAGAAAAACACAGAGATGACAATATCCAACAGCCATGCATAATGACATATGCTCATGCAAATCATGCAAGCACAAATAGCACGAGCACTCGGCAGGACGTTAGGATGACATGCACTCAGAATGACGTGCATCCAACAAACTCCCCCTCATACTAACGGACTGCATGCACATATACTCACACAGATGCTAACTCTCATGCACACAATCACACATGCACTCATGACACTGCTGCCCACACTAGTGCAATGCCATGCCACACATCTTAGCACACTTCCAATGTGCGCTCTCGGGAAGTCTCTTGGTGAGAAAATCTGCCGCCTGCTTGCTAGCTTTCACATTGTGAAGCTCAACAATCCCCTCTTTCACCATCTGCCTCACCCAATGCCACTTAATCTTCACATGCTTGTTCAGCCCATTGAGGATAGGATTATTTGCCATGCCAATAGCAGCCTCGCTGTTAGAGAAAAGTGGTGTAGGTCCCTCCTGTTCTGCTCCCATGTCCTCCAGCAGCTTCCTCAAGAGCACGATCTCCTTGATGGCATGGTACATCGCCATGTACTCTGCCTCTCCGGAAGACTGGGCAATCTCACTCTACTTCTTGGACCTCCAGCTCACTGGTCCACCTCCGACCATGCACACAATGCCGCCAACCAATGAATGATCCTCATCCTCTAAGGCCCATGTGGCGTCGGTGAAGCACGACAGCTTCAAGGTTCCAGGCGTGACCCCATCTGCTCCAATCTGTTTCAGCTGGCCGCCAGCTGAAAACTGAACACCAGCAGATGCCGTTGATCCAAGGTAGCGCACCAAGCACTTTGCCACCTCCAACTGCTCCTCAGTGGGCCGCTGCACAACTCTGGCCAGCTGCCCCACTCCGAATGAAGCATCAGGTCGCGTATGCACAGCTGCATACATCACACTCCCAATGAGTGACTAGTACTCATTCTGCTGCTCATCCTCGAGTACATCATCCTCCTCAGCTGCCTTCTTCAGTTTGAAGCCCGCAGGTAATGGTGTCATCACAGTGCGACCCCCAGTCACACCATACCGCTCCATGACACCAGAGATGTAGTGTGACTGATGCACCTTCAGCCACCTCCTCTCAACATCCCTCTCAATCTGCAGCTCCAAGTAGTAATGGACATCCCCCAGCATCTTGCACTTGAAGTTGTCCATCAGCAGCTTCTGTGTCCTCTCAATCTGCTCCATGGAGGGTGAGAACAGCAGTATGTCATCGACATACACCAGCAGCAAGAGCAGCTGCTCCCCCTCTCCAAGCAGAAACAAACTGTGATCCGCCTGGGATGTCTTGAAGCCTCCACTCAGCAGCACCTCCTCCAGCTTCTTGTACCAACACCTGGGCGCTTGCTTAAGGCCATAGATGGCCTTCTTAAGCTTGCACACCCGGTTGGTCCCATCCTCATAGCTGTCGGGCTGGGCTATGTAGAAATCCTCCAGCAGTATTCCATTGAGGAACGCAGTGGTGATATCCATCTGCTTCACGTGCCATCCCTTCGCAGCTGCGCCAGCCATCAAAGTCCTCAGTGTTATTGGCTTAGCAACGGGAGCGAAGATCTCTCCAAAGTTGACCTTCTCTTTCTGCTGAAACCCCTTGGCGACCAAGCGGCTCTTGAACCGCTCCAACGCACCATCAGCTCCACTCTTCACCTTGAAGACCCACTTGCTGCTGATCGGCCGTCGCCCCTCGGGTAACTCAACAAGCTCCCAAGTCCCATTCTCAATGAGACTGTTGAACTCCGCATCCATGGCAGCCTTCCACTCCTCCTTCTGGGGTCCACTGAGTGCCTCCTCCACTGTGGCAGGTTCTCCAGGCAAGGGTGTGAAGAAACAGAATGCCATCTCCTCATCCTCCCCCTCATCCGCCTGAACCGCCATGGCACCTTGCTTGGGTCCTCCCAAACGACTATACTTCAGCCTTGAGGGTGCTGCTACCACTCTCTTCTCGCGGGTTGCAATCTGCTGCCCATGTGGTGAAGCTCCTCTCTGCATACTCCTCTTGGTGACCTTGGCGTTTGCAGCAAGCTCGGGCTGAGTTGGTGAGTCCACACGTGCCGACTCATCCTCCAACCCCTCCTCTCCAGCAGGACCAGAAACTTGCTTCTCACCACCGCCACTGTGGTCACTGGTCAGCTCTGACCCAGGGAGATCCTCAAGGTGCAGCTGAACCTCCTCCACTGCAGACCGCTCAATCTCCTGCAAACGCAAGCCAATTTGCACCTGCTGCTGCTGCTGCCAATCCTTGTACATGACGTCCTTCACAAAATTGACGTCACGACTGACCAGCGTCCTCTTGCTCTTCGGGTCCCACATCAGCCACCCCTTCGAGTCAGGAGCCATCCCAAGATGGACAGCCCACATGGCAGCAACTTCCAGCTTGTGCCTCTACTCCTTAGGCACCATCACAAGCCCCATGCAGCCCCATACCCGCAGCATGTCAATGGATGGCTTCTTCCCAAGCCAACGCTCTTACGGCACCCAATGCTTGTCGCCAACATGAGTCAAGACCCTGTTCTTGACCGTGACGCCATGGCGAACGGCATCAGGCCAGAACTTGTAGGGCATCCCAGCAGCCCCCAACAAGGTCTTAGCCGCCTCGCCAATGGTCCGGTTGGCACGCTCAGCAATGCCGTTCTGCTGCGGTGTTCCAGGGCAGGTCAGCTGATGTCGGATGCCATTTCTCTTGAGGAACTTGGTGAGTTCCACTCCAAGGAACTCTCCACCTCGGTCGCTCCTCAGCACCTTCACCAGCCGCATCGCTTGCCACTCCACCATCGGCAACCAATCCTCCTTGATCGTCGCTGCAGCATCGCTCTTCTTGGACAAGGGACGCGCCCACGTGAAACGGCCCCATTTGTCCACCATGGTAAGGAAGTACAGCACTCCCCCAGTCCCCTCAGTCCTTGTTTTTGCCCTTCCACTTCTTCTTGAAGCCACTCTTTCCACCTCCAACTCCATAGCCAGCCCCCTCCTCCGAGCGCTCCACACTCCGCTACCGCAAGTCCTCCTCTAGGATGCGCGCGCGAATGTAATCCATGCTCCATTGGGGTTGTTGGGAGTTGAGGTTGATCGCTAGGGCAGACCACGACTCTGGCAGCCGTATCACGATCTCCACGCATTGCACGAGCTCCGGGTACACCACACCGCCTCCTTGGAGCTTCGTGAAAATGTCCCGCATCTCATCCAACACCGGTTGCATCGGCTCTCCATCAACGAACTTGATGTCGCGCAGCCGCCGCGCGAGTAGCACGATGCCGGTAGCATGTGTCGGTGAGTGCACATCCAGAAGCTTCCTCCAAGCCTTGGGGCCACACTCTGGATCACCCAAGAGGTCCCTGATGTGGTCAAGTAGTCGTCCGCCAACCGCTTGCACCATGAGCATGTACGCGTCGAACGATCGCTTCATCCACGCTCCTTTCAGCTCCGCGGCCTCCGGCATCTTCTCCTTCCCCTCCACCAGATCCAATAGCTTGTATTGGGTGTACATCAGCCTCATGCGGAAGCTCCAGTGCTCGTAGTCCTCCCCCATGAATTTCTCAATAGAGAACGCCTTCACGGGATCCACGGTTGTTGGAGATGGTGTAATAGACGTAGGTAGCGTAGGGCTGGCTGGTTGGTAAGTCCCCACTCCTCCACCAGCAACCCCCCCCTGCTATCCAGCCTCTCTACTTCTATCCATCTTGCCACTAGCACCTCCGGAGTTCGTACCAACCATATTGAGGCCTTATGAACGGTGGAAACTTGAGAAATCGTTTGGAGAGAATTCTGCCACAAATTTCGATTCTACGAAAAACGTTGTCGCGGACTAGATAATTTGAATTAGAACGCGATTTGACCACCAATCAAACGTTCGCAAGCAGAGCTATTAGACAATGGTCTCACTCGACATCATTGGTTGAGAATTCATGACGATTCGTTGTCTCGTAGTCGACTACCCGCTCTGATACCACTTGTTGTTCAGGATCCGTCACTTTGAGAACTTACGACGAACTCATTACTCAACTAAACACAAATCCGCTCGGTAGGATTGTGCGCCTTAGGCTTAGATACCATCTCCAAGTTGAATCAGTCTTTAAGATGGTCTAGAGAGTGAGAACCATGTAAAAAACGTCCAGCAGCCGCATAACTAGAATGGTAGAGGAACTACAAGCATGTAGGCATAGAAAGTTGGAGTTGGGAACCTCCAAGAGAACCATGAGAGGGAAGGGGTTCTCCAAGAGCTAGGGAAGGATGGTAGGAACCTTCCTAACAGCAAGGATGCAACCCTCATCATGAGGTCCTTGAGGTGTCACATGCAAAATCCAATCTAGTTGGATTTTGCCTAGGTGTTGCAAAATTTGCAACCCATGCTAGAAACTTCTAGCCACCCCAATCCAAAAGTCAAAGTTGCCTTCCCTAACCACCCAACCAAAGATCCCTTTATACTCATGTCCCAAGTAATCACCCAAATTAGATATAACCCCAAAAGGTAATAAGAAATCCAAGTCTTGGAAATCTTGTAACTTGGGCGATCTTGGTCGGAATAAGGCGATCTTGGTATCGTTGGAAAGCTCTGGATTTCTCCTGCATGATCAAGCATTTAGACTTGGAGAAAAACACAGAGATGACAATATCCAACAGCCATGCATAATGACATATGCTCATGCAAATCATGCAAGCACAAATAGCACGAGCACTCGGCAGGACGTTAGGATGACATGCACTCAGAATGACGTGCATCCAACAAACCTCTCATCTATCTCCTTCACCAGGTGATGACCCCGTTGGACAGCTGAAGAGAGGAGCTGTTGAATTGAATCCCAACACGGGTTCCGAGCGTGTTTTTTTTGAATTCTCAGAATCCCAGCACGGGTTCCGAGAAGGCCGCGAGGATGGGGCAGACCCCTCAGCAATGCGATACTAGCCCATCCCCATCCCCCCAGCTGTGCATTACCGCACACACCCATCTCCCTCACCAGGTGATGACTCCATTGGACAATTGAAGCGACGAGCTGTTGAATCCCAGCACGGGCTCTGAGAAGGCGACGAGGATGGGGTAGACCCAGTTCGTGGTGGCGCTGCTCTCACTCGCGCTCAGCTGCACCGTTGGGCGCGTGGTGTCTGGTGGTTGAAGGGCAGACATAGTGGCGAAACGGAAGCGGGAGAGGGAAAAGTGGGGGCTGAGAGCTGCATGGTAGAGAGGAAGGAGAGATGGTGAGAAGGCGACGAGGATGGGGTAGACCCAGTCTGTTGTGGCGCTGGTCTCGCTCCCGCTCAGCTGCACCGTAGGGGGTGTGGTGTCTGGTGGAGAGGGGGGGTGATGGGGGGGGGGGGGGGAATGGAAAAGCAGGTTAGGTGGGGGCTGTGAGCAACACGGGGGAGAGGAGAGAGGGCGAGAAGGCGACGAGGATGGGGTAGACCCAGTCCGTGGTGGCTCTGCTCTCACTCGCAATACGCCATCAAAGAAGGAGAGGGGGGACTGCGTGGGCTGGCAGGTGGAAGAACAAAAAGCGTGACATGGAGAGCACCACAGAGAGTGGGGTGGGTGGAGGGCGGGTGGGGTGGGTGGAGGGCGGGTGGAGTGGGTGGGCTCAGACAAGGCTTACCAAAGAAGAAGAAGAAGAAGAAGGGCTGTGTGGGCTGGCAGATGTTCCCAGCAACATCGGTGACATTCTCATGCCGTATGTCCACCACCACTGAGCCTTTGCCCGTGGGCCACACCTGCCATATCACATGCCATCAGGAAAGGAGAGACATGGCAAGACTGGTGGTTGAGGCAAGCACAAGAGCGCGCAGCATCGGAGACGTTCATATCCACATGGCTGAACCCTTGCCCGTGGGCCACACACACACACACCCGCCATACGCCATCAGAGAAGGAGCAAGGGTTCAATGGTGGTGACGCAGGGCAGAGTAGTTGGAGTGGCTTACAAGCAGAGACTGGCTTGGAGAAGAGCACCCGGCATGTCACAGGCGACTAGGAGACCCTTAAAGCGTGACTCTTGCTGGCATTGACTGACTCACAGTAAAGCCCATCAAAAGATTCCACTTGAACTCCAAAAAAAAAGGAATGGAAACAAAGAGGAACCCACCCACCTGAAATTGGTACTCCAGGTCGGTCACGTGTTGGGGGTCACTGGTGGTGGCGTTGGCGACAGCGAGGGACGCGGAGGAGAAGGAAGAGACGGGCTTGGAGAAGAGAAGAGCACTTAGCAGGTCACCGGCGACTGGTCGACTCATAGAGCCGTACCCTGGCATTGACCGACTCACAACAACCCACCTAAACATGGTACACCCTAGTCCACTGCAACTGAAACTCACCTGGAACTGGTACTCCAGGTCGGAGACAGATTGGGGGTTGCTGGCGGTGGCGTTGGCGATAGCGAGGGACGAGGAGGGGAAGGAAGAGACGGGCTTGGAGAAGAGCACCCGACACGTCACGGGCGACTGGGAGACTCGTGGCGTGGCTCTGAGCTGTGTGAAGAACTTGACCACCGCCAAGGGCGTGTCGCAGGTGAGAGTGGCCTCCAGAGGGGCGCGGTCTGGAGGGGTGGAAAGGGGGAGAAAGTGGGACGGGAGCGGAGGGGGAAACGGGGGGGGGGAAGTCAGCAACTGATTCACCCGCGGCCTGGCTCTGAGCTGAGCTGTGTGAAGAACTTGACCACTGCCAAGGGCGTGTTGCAGGTGAGAGTGGCCTCCAGAGGGGCGCGGTCTGGAAGAGGGTGGGGAGGGGGAAAAGGGGGTTAGAGGCCGGCTGCTTGCTGCGTGGCTCTGAGCTGTGTGAAGAACTTGACCACTGCCAAGGGCGTGTCACAGGTGAGACTGGCCTCCAGAGGGGCGCGGTCTGGATGGGGGAAGAGGGAGTGAGGAGGGGCGGGTTGGGGGGATGTTTAGGGCTGGGTGGGCTGAGTGTGCTGTAACGAGGGGCTCTGAGCGGCGTGGAAATCCATTGTGGAAGGCATGTCCCAGGAGAGAGTGGCCTCCAGAGAGAGGGGGGGGGGTGTGGGTTGGAGGAGGAGATAGGGCTGGGGGAGGTTAGGGTTGGGTTGGGTTGGGTGGGGTGGGTTGAGAATGGCATTGTAAAGGCATGGCTAGGAAAGGCATGGGTAAAGGCATGCGAGGAAGGGAGGCACATGTCTACTCGTGCACATGCAATCACACTATCAAGAGGCACTGGGCTGAAAAGCAGGGGAATGGGGGGGCATAGGGGCACACGTGATCTACTCCATCCATTCTCTTCACTGTGGCAGTCGTCTTCACAGCAGGCAAGCTTTGGCCTTTATGCACGTCCGCTTACCTATCCTGATGACGGCATAAGAGCCAAACCCCGCCATCCATGCCCTCCCACTCGAGTCAGCACAGCTGCCCGACCTTAAAGCCACAGTCACAGCGGCAGCACTAGCACTGCCACCGCTGCTGCTGGAGGTTCCGTTGCCGGTGGAATTGCTGCTGTCGTTAGAGCTGCTGCCCCCACTGCTGTTGCTGCTGCTGGTGCTGGTGCTGGTGGTGGTGGCGGGTGGCAGGGTGGCAGTGAGGGAGTATCGATTGTGCCGTCATCTGACGCCAGGAACGAGGAGGGGTCGATGCTCACTATGCCCTGCGGTGATGCCTGCACCTGACCTGCGTGAGCGAGAAGGGAGAGGGAGAAAAAGGGAGAGGGGGTAGGGAGGAGGTGAACGAGTAGAGGAGGGGTCGATGCTCACTTTGCCCTGTGGTGATGCCTGCACCTGACGTGCGTGAGTGAGAAGGGAGAGGGAGAAAGGAGGGGGGGGTGGGGGAGAAGGAGGGAGAGGAGGTAGGAAGACGGTAAACAAGGAGGGGTCAATAGGCACTATGCCCTACGGTGATGCCTCCCTGGGGTAGACTGTACACACTGAGGCTACACAAACAGCAAAATCTGGTCCAAACAGTACATGGTGTATACATCTCCTCCATTTATTTTTCATGAAGAGCGACGTATATGCAGAAAGAAGCAATCACGTACACCGCATGCAGAGGAGTTGCACTACAGGCCTGGGCAGGGCTTGTCAAAGGCGATGCTGATCTGCACCGACCCCTCCCTCGCCTGTGGCTTTTGAGGCATCTAATATGAGCTAGGCATATGCATGGAGAAGCAACCACGTACGTCACAGGAAGTGGAGGTGCACTGCAGGCCCGGCCCGGGCTCGGCTTGTCAAAGGCGATGCTGATCTGCACCGACACCCCCCTCGCCTGTGGCTTTTGAGGCGCCTAAAATGAGCAAGGCATATGCATGGAGAAAGAAGCAACCACGTACGCCGCAAGCAGTGAAGGCCCTCCCTCCCTTGCCTGTGGCTTTTGAGGCGTCTAGAAAGAACGAGGCACATACAAAGTGTAGCAATCACGTACGTTGCACGCACTAGAGTTGCACTGCAGGCCCGGGCATGGCTTGTTGAAGGCGATGCTGATTTGCACCGACCCCTCCCTTGCCTGTGGCGGGTCCACTGTTAGCGTTGGCACCGGACTGGCCGCTTTTGATGGGAACCACGTGATTGGAAGCAAGGGGAAAGGGAAAGGAAGGAGCAGAGAAGTGCATTTCAGAGGGCGAGATTTCGGTGGAGTTGCACTGCAGGCCCGGGCAGGGCTTGTCAAAGGCGATGCTGATCTGCGCCGACCCCTCCCTTGCCTGTGGCGGGTCCACTGTTAGCGTTGGCACCGGACTGGCCGCTTTTGATGGGATGGGAACCACGGGATTGGAAGCAAGGGGAAAGGGAAAGGAAGGAGCAGAGAAGTGCATTTCAGAGGGCGAGGTTTCGGTGGAGTTGCACTGCAGGCCCAGGCAGGGCTTGTCAAAGGCGATGCTGATCTGCACCGACCCCTCCCTTGCCTGTGGCGGGTCCACTGTTAGCGTTGGCACTGGACTGGCCGCGTCTAACGAGAACCAAGGGGAAAAAAGGGCGGAGAACGGCGGAGGAGGGGAAGAAGGGAGGAGACGAGGACAGTGGAGCGTTTCAGAAGGCGGATTGCAAAACGGATAAGTAGGAGCTGCGTCCTCCTGACCACAGTCTCATCTCATGCGCTGCAATCGCACAGTGAAGGTGGCCTTTGAGACATCTCAAAAGCCACCTGAAACCGCCCACATCTCCTGCGCTGCGCTGCAGTCGAACATTTTTTGAGAATTCTCAAAAAGCCACCTGAAACCGCCCACATCTCCTGCGCTGTGCTGCAGTCAAACGTTGAACAAACGGCGGTGCTCCGCTCTGCAGATGTGTATAAAAGCCGATCAGGCCACCTAACAAGAGGAGAGAAACGAGTAGAGAAGCTTACCAACGACCCATTCATATGATGTGGCCTGTGCTTGCGCCTCCACCTGTTTTTTTAGAATTCTAAAAAAATAGAAGCTTACCAGCGACCCATTCATATGTGGCCTGTGCTTGCGCCTCCACCTGCGCCCCTCCCCTTCCTCCCCCTCCCCCTCCCCCTCCCCCTTCCACCCCTCCTCCCCACTCTCCGCCCATCCCAACATCAGCAGTGGCGGCCTGCAGGCGGGTGCCAGTGACCCCCGGCGCGCCCCTGAGCGCGGTGACTGTGAAGCGGTTGGGACCGTCCGTGAGGCCGGCTGCTGTGAACCACCCGCGCGGGCAGGGGAAGCTGGGGAGGGCGTCCAGCTGGGGGGGGCGGAGAGGGGCAGAGGAGGAGGTAGGAGAGCGGTTGAATGGTGAAGCGGTGGGGGCCGTCCGTCAGCCCGCGTGCTGTGAACCACCCCTGGGGACAGGGGAAGCTGTGGAGGGCGTCCAGCTGTGAGGGGGGGGGGACGGCAGGGAGGGGAGGATAATGATGGGTTTACTGTGAAGCGGTGGCGGCCGTCCGTGAGGCCACGTGCTGTGAACCACCCCCTCGGACAGGGGAAGCTGGGGAGGGCGTCCAGCTGTGAGCGGACGGGGAGAGGAGTAAGGGGAGGAGAAGGGGATGAGCTTGTGCGTGGGTTCACAGGTGCAGGCGGGGCGGGTGCCAGTGACCCCCGGCGCTCCCCTGAGCGCGGTGACTGTGAAGCGGTGGGGACCGTCCATGAGCCCGCGCGCTGTGAACCACCCCCGCGGACAGGGGAAGCTTGGGAGCGAGTCCAGCTGCGGATGGGGGGTTGACGGGGTGGGGAGGATGGGGAGACAGACGGGGAGGCGGGCGGGGAGGCGGAGGGGGAGGGAGGTGTGGGAGGACAGGGAGGGGGAGGAATGGCAGGGTAAGGGGAGCTAGGGAGGGGCGAGAGTGAGTTGGGAGAGAGAGGTGGGAGAGGGAGGTATGGAAAAGAAGCATATGCTTAAAAATGTGTGGGAGAGGACTCTTGCAGAGGTGCTCTGACATGACCCCACATGCTTTGACATGACCCCACATGCTTTGACATGACCCCACATGCTTTGACATGACCCCACATGCTTTGACATGACCCCACATGCTTTGACATGACCCCACATGCTTTGACATGACCCCACATGCTTTGACATGACCCCACATGATTTGACATGACCCCACATGCTTTGACATGACCCCACATGCTTTGACATGACCCCACATGCTTTGACATGACCCCACATGCTTTGACATGACCCCACATGCTTTGACATGACCCCACATGCTTTGACATGACCCCACATGCTTTGACATGACCCCACATGCTTTGACATGACCCCACATGCTTTGACATGACCCCACATGCTTTGACATGACCCCACATGCTTTGACATGACCCCACATGCTTTGACATGACCCCACATGCTTTGACACGACCCCACATGCTTTGACATGACCCCACATGCTTTGACATGACCCCACATGATTTGACATGACCCCACATGCTTTGACGTGACCCCACATGCTTTGACATGACCCCACATGCTTTGACATGACCCCACATGCTTTGATATGACCCCACATGCTTTGACATGACCCCACATGCTTTGTCCCCCCGAGAGCACGCATTGCAGCGATGTGAAGCGAAAAAGAGAAGGAGAAAAGTGGAAGAGGTGGGGAGACACGGGGTAGTGAGGGAGGAGGGAATGGCGATGAGCCGGGGTAAGGGCGGGGGGGACGGACCTTGTTTTTTAGTCGACTCAAAAAGAGGTGGGGAGACACGGGGTACTGAGAGAGGAGGGAATGGCGTCTAGCCGGGGCAAGGGCAGGGTGGGACGGACCTTGCAGACGGGAGGGCAGGGGGGACGAAGACGCAGCATGCAGATAGCGGGACAGGGGGGAGGTGGGGGACGCACCTTGCAGAGGCAGGTGCGGGAGGGGGGACGGGGAGAGGGGGCTTGCAGAGGTACCTTTACAGAGGTACCTTGCAGAGGGGGAGGGGGGTTAAGGGGGGACGCACCTTGCAGAGGAAGGTGCAGGTGTCACAGCGGGCGGGCGAGCGCAGAGGGAGAACAGGAGCGCAGCATAAGTGGAGAACAAGGGGAGACCGAGTGCAGGAGGGGGGCCGCACCTTGCAGAGGAAGGTGCAGGCGTCACAGCGGGCAGGCGAGTGCACGCCTGTCATCTCCAGCGCGTGCCACGAGAAGCGCGCACGCCCCACCTTCGCCACGCCCCTTGGCCTGCGCACAAACAACACCACCAATGCCGGCGCGGACGCTACAGGCGCTACAGGCGCTACAGGCGCTGCGGACGCTGCGGGCGGTAGGGGAAGCACAAAGGCTACAGGCCACGCGGATGATGTGGACAAACGCGCCTCCAGTGCACCAAACGCCGCGCCACCACCGGCCCCAACACTACCACCACCACCACCACCACCACCAGCACCGGCTGTAGCGGAACCAACAGCTGTAGCGGCGCCAGAAAGAGCCTGCTCCTGTAGCGGCTGGCCTGGCTGCGGCTGCTTGAGGCCAACTGGCACGAGCACGGCCGTGAGCCGAACGGTTGCCTGTAACACCTGATAGGGTAACTGCTCAAAGCCCCCACAGAGCCGACACGGCTGTGCGACCGCCGCGGACGCTGTCACTGTAATGGTCAGCGTCACGTTGGCGATAGGGTTATCAGCAGGGTTACTGCTGTTACTGCTCGCTGCGTTGCGACTGGTCGCAGGCAGAGCGGCAGCAGGCAGAGCCCAGGACACGTCCCCCATGTAGCACGTGAACGGGCGGGTGCCGCCGCACCGACCCACAGGCCTGCACGGCCCTGCTGTGAGCATCTCGCGGCCATTAACGCGTATGGACTGTACCGTCCGGTCGGGCCAGTCAAAATCGGTCGGGACTACACCCACTGCGAGAACGTAGGTGAGTCGCCACTTCGTGCTGTTGTAACTATAACTGGAACTGTAACTGTTGTTTGCATCAGCCTGCGACGGTAACAGCCCGGTGGAAACCGACACGGTGCAGATTGGTCCAGCTCCCCTTCCTGCCCCAGTGTTCTGCGCCCCTCCCGCGCTATCCCCCGCGCCAGCTCCCCCCGCGCCGGTACCCCCCGCGCCGGTGCGCCCCGGGAGCGGCCCTATGACGGGGTCGTCCTGGCGGCGGTTGGGCGGAACGAGCGGGGAGGCGCAGAAGGTGTCGACGAATGAGAGCACGCGGTAGGTTGAGGGGAGGACTTGTGCGCGCGCAGGGGAGAGGGGGAAGAGGAGGAGGAGGAGGAAGGAGAGGACATCCGAAAAATGTGATTGGGGATTTCTACCTAGGGGTAACTTCTTGGGTAGCTTTGGGGGAAGGCTTCGAAAGGTATGTCTCAGGACGCCGGTCAGGATGCCTTTCGAGCGGACCGCGCGCTCAACTCCCCCAGAAGTGTCGGAACCAATCGTCGTGAAACAATTTTCTGGTTCGGAAACTTACGCGATTGGCCGTTGGCTTAAAAACTCTTTTTGGCAATTTCGTTCATTGGACTTCCAGCTCTCTTGGAAATGATCCCATTGGCCAATGTTCGCGTCGCGTCGAGCAATAAATTGGATATGATGCAGATGCACTTAACGCATAGTGTACAAGCATTATGCCAATATATATATAATTTGTATACAATCAAAATAGACGCAATAAAATTTAATATAAAATTTAATAGCTGACATTCACTATGGTGCAGCAGTCATTATGACGAGTATATATTTTGCTCAAATTCGTTAATTGCATGTTAGCATTTTCATGGCTATCCAATCTTCCTATTTGTTTATTGACTCAAACGTCAATTGTCTCAATTATAATACAGATACATTAACCAGAGTAATTATCCAACACTTTCGTAAACACAAAAAAAAAAGCAAATGACAATTGTGTCAAACTTATATGATATAGCCTGTGTAGGCTGTAGCAGGTCACACACTAAGGGGTACATAATTCTAGGGTTTCATATTTGTATCACTTTCATTCCTTAGTCAATTCATTCTCGTTCTAAGTTTCTCATGGTATCGAGCAGGTTCCCTAGTGGGAACTTTCCTAGGGCCCACCAAGATCGAGTTTTTTTTTTCCTGCCCGGGGCGCGCGTTGCCCCCCGTGCCCGAGGCGCGCCTAGTGTTCTGCCCCTAGCGGCCCGTCGCACCCTCCTTAGCGGCCCGTCGCGCCGCCCTTAGCGGCCCCGTCGTGCCCTCCTTAGCGGCTTGTCGCGCCGCCCTTAGCGGCCCCGTCGCGCCCTCCTTAGCGGCCCGTTGCGCCCTCCTTAGCGGCCGGTCGCGCCGCCCTTGTCAGAACATATATGTAGCTTATGCTGTTGTGTAGGCTACAGTGGGGTATCCCATAGGGGGTACAACCCAATTAGGGTTTTGCTATTTGTACCCAACTCTTTCATAGTGCATTCATTCTCGTTCTATTTTCCACATGGTATCGAGCAGGTTCCCCCGTGGGAACTGTGCTTAGGGCCCACCACTTTTAAACTTTTTTTTCTGCCCGGAGCGCGCTCCGGGCCCTCGCTCTCACTCTTTCGGCCTGCCCTGCGGCCCCCTAGCCGCCCGCGCGCGCCCGTTCAGGCCCCTAGCCGCCCGCGCGCCGCCCGTCCCGGCCCCTAGCCGCTCGCGCGCCGCCCGTTCAGGCCCCTAGCCGCCCGCGCGCCGCCCGTCCCGGCCCCTAGCCGCTCGCGCGCCGCCCGTTCAGGCCCCTAGCCGCCCGCGCGCCGCCCGTCCCGGCCCCTAGCCGCTCGCGCGCCGCCCGTTCAGGCCCCTAGCCGCTCGCGCGCCGCCCGTTCAGGCCCCTAGCCGCCCGCGCGCCGCCCGTCCCGGCCCCTAGCCGCTCGCGCGCCGCCCGTTCAGGCCCCTAGCCGCCCGCACGTCGCCCGTCCCGGCCCCTAGCCGCTCGCGCGCCGCCCGTTCAGGCCCCTAGCCGCCCGCGCGCCGCCCGTCCCGGCCCCTAGCCACCCGCGCGCACCCGTCCCGGCCCCCTGCTGAGGGGTGGCAGGTGTGTGGTCTCCCCTGCTTCTCCTCCTCCTTCGTCTCGAGCTGCCCTGCAGCCGAGCTGCCTCGCCGCCGAGCCGCTCTACACCCGAGCCTCCCAGCAGCCGCGCCGCCCTGCAGCCGAGCCGCTCTACACCCGAGCCTCCCAGCAGCCGCGCCGCCGGGTCGCCGAGCTGCCGAGTTGCAGTTGCTGCCGAGCCGCCCTGCCGCCGAGCCGCCCGAGTCGCCCGAGCCGCAGAGCCGCCGTGCTGCCGAGCCGCTGAGTCGCCGAGCCTACTCTACCCACCACTGGTGAGCCCCTGCCCTGCTAGCACGCTGCGCGTCGCCTGCTTGCCTGCCTGCCTCCCTTTTTGGCTTGCCTGGCTGCCTGCTTTACTGCTGCTACTCCTGCTACTGCCTCTACTGGTGGAGCCAGATGCAGCCCCATCGACGTCTGCGTGAGTCCCTCACGCCCCAGCAGCTGCGTGAGTGGTACACTGGTTGGGGCTGTAGGGGTGGTGGCGCTACCACTGCTACCACTCCTGCTGCTTCTACTACTGGTGGCGGCCAGATGCAGCTCCCGCGACCCCCCCGCGCGTCTCTCACGCCTCAGCAGCTTCGTGAGTGGTACGCTCAGAGTGGAGGGTCTCTCAGTTCTGTTCGCTGCTCTTACGTGATTCTCACTGGTGCTCGGACTGGTCAGCCTTGTGGGACACCTAGTCATACACAGTCCCGCTGCTTCGCCCGTCTGAGCGACGCCTGGCGTACCGTGTTTGGCGACGAGGCTGAGCTCCCCGACTGGGTGGAGTTGCTTAGGCAGAGGGTAGATATATTTGCTCTTGACTATGATGCTATTCTCACTGCCATGTATGCATTGCCTACTAGTGCTGACCGTGCCGGTCACCTGTGCGTCCCGCCTGACCCGGGTATAGGACCTGCTGCTCTAGCTACTGGTGAGGCTGCTGCTGCTCTAGGTGCTAGTGAGTCTCCTGCTCCAGGTACAGGTGCGGCTGCTGCTCTAGGTGCTAGTGAGTCTGCTTCCTCAGGTGCGGGTGAGGCTGCGCTCTCAGGTACCGCGTTGGCTTCGGCCTCCCTCACCTTTACACTTGACTCTGGGGCTTCTCGCTCCTTCTTTCGGGACCGCACCACACTCACGCCGCTTGGTCGGCCGGTTGCAGTCTCCCTGGCTGACCCCTCTGGGGGTCCTGTCCTCGCTCACTTCTCCACTGTCCTCCCGTGTCCGGCTGCCCTCTCGGGCACCCTGTCTGGCCTGTACCTCCCCTCGTTCTCGACGAACTTGGTGAGTGGTGCAGACCTGCAGGATGCGGGGGTTCACCAGTTCACTCCTGCGAGTCAGCGGGTGACCCACTGCACGGACGCACGCACAGGCCGGCACCTGGCCACGTTCTCGCGTCGGCCGGGGTCGAGCCTCTACACCCTGACCACTGAGTCTCCTCCTGTCCCTGCGTCCGGTCAGGTAGCAGCGTCAGGTCAGGTGTTTGCTGCTGCGTCCAGGTCTGGTCCTGAGTCTGCCCCCTGTTCGTGTCGCCTCCTGTCTCACGAGACTCTCCTGTGGCACCACCGTCTTGGCCACCCCTCCTTGCCCCGCCTTCGGGGCATGGCTTCCCGTGTCCTTGTCTCTGGCCTTCCCCAGTCTCTCCCTCCCCTTCCTTCGGGACCAGGACCTTCCTGTGTCCCCTGTGTCGAGCGGCGCCTCAGGGCTGCTCCTCACTCCTCCCAGTTTCCCCCGACAGAGGCTCCTCTGCAGACACTTCACATGGACGTGTGGGGCCCGGCCCCCGTCCGTGGGCAGAGTCACGAGCGCTACTTCCTGTTGGTGGTTGACGACTACTCGCGTTACACCACAGTCTTCCCCTTGCGCAGCAAGGGTGCTGTCACTGAGGTGCTGATCGACTGGATCCGCGAGGCTCGTCTCCAGCTCAGGAGGAGCTTCGGCTCGGACTTTCCTGTTCTGCATCTGCACTCTGACCGAGGTGGGGAGTTCTCCTCTCGCCTTCTGCGAGACTACTGTCGTGCACAGGGGATCCGCCAGACCTTTACGCTTCCGGACTCTCCACAGCAAAATGGGATTGCTGAGCGCCGCATTGGCATGGTCATGGATGTCGCTCGTACGTCCATGATGCATGCGGCTGCCCCCCATTTTCTGTGGCCGTTTGCGGTTCGGTACGCGGCGCATCAGCTCAACCTTCACCCCAGGGTCTCTCGGCCCGCGATGTCCCCAGTGTTACTGTGGACGGGGAAGGTCGGCGATGCGTCTGCGTTCCGTGTCTGGGGATCTCGGGCGTTTGTCCGCGACTTGTCTGCGGACAAGCTGTCCCCCCGTGCTGCTCCCTGTGTCTTCCTTGGCTTCCCCCCTGACGCTCCAGGGTGGCAGTTCTACCACCCCTCCTCTCGTCGTGTTCTGTCCTCCCAGGACGTCACGTTCGACGAGTCAGTCCCCTTCTACCGCCTCTTCCCCTACCGTACTCCTTCCCTCCCCCCCCCACCGGACTTCCTGGTGCCAGTTCCCCCCCCGGTAGACCCCCTCCCCCCTCAGGTTCCTGCCCCTTCAGGTGTGTCCCAGGTAGACACACTCGAGCCAGTCGAGGTTGCTGCTGAGTCTGGTCCTGTTGCGGGTGCAGAGTCTGGGGGTGCTACGCCTGCGGGTGCTGAGCTTGGGGGTGCTGCTGCTGGGGGTGCTGAGCCTGGGGGTGCGAGGCCGGGGGGTGCTGAGCTTGGGGGTGCTGCTGCTGGGGGTACTGAGCCGGGGGGTGCTACGTCAGGAGCTGCTGAGCCTAGGGGTGCGGAGCCTGCGACTGCTGGACCTGGGGGCTCTCCGGTTGCTCTGTCTCGGCGGGAGCCGCTCTCTCCACAGGAGCTGCGCGAGTGGTTTGCTCGCCGCTAGAGGCGTACTGCTGGAGCTGGAGCTCCTTCGACTGCTGAGGGTGCTGGTGCTACCGGTCCCGGAGCTGCTGGGCCTGCGGGCCCTCTGGAGCTGGAGCTGCTGAGCCTGGGGGTGCTGAGTCTGGAGCTGCTGAGCCTGGGGGTGCTGAGTCTGGAGCTGCTGAGCCTGGGGGTGCTACGTCTGGAGCCGCTGAGCCTGGGGTTTCTCCTGGTGCTGCGTCTCGGCGGGAGCCCCTCTCTCCACAGGAGCTGCGCGAGTGGTTTGCTCGCCGCTGGAGGCGTACTGCTGGAGCTGGAGCTTCTTCGACCGTCGAGGGTGCTGGTGCCGCCGGTCCCGGAGGTGCTACGCCTGCGGGTCCTACTGGAGCTGGGGCTGCTGAGGGCGTTGGTGCTGAGTCTGCTGCTGTCTGTCCTGACGGTGGTTCTGCTGCTGGTGCTGCTGGAGGTACTGCCGCTGGAGGTGTTGGTGGCGCTGGTGCTGCCGCTGAGGGTGCTGGTGCTGTCCCTGCTGAGTCTGGAGCTGCCGCGCGGCCTCGGCCGTACTTCGTTCCGCTTCTGCAGCAGGTTCTTGGTCTTTCTCCTCCGGTAGAGTGTCCACAGCCCGTCCAGTCGCAGTCACTGTTGGAGCCTACCTCCCCACTGCCTGCTCCCTCTCCTTACACTGGTCCTACTGGAGGTCTTACTGAGCGTCGTGAGCCTGCGTCTCGTCCCGCGTCGCCTGTTCGTGCTGCCCGCGCTAGTGGTCGTGGTTCGCGTCCGCATCCTCCTCCTGTCCCTGGCACGCACCGGATGTCTCTGCGTCCGTCCACTTCTCCTCTGCGTGCCCTTTTGCCTTCTCCTCCTGAGTCCTCCCTTCCTGTGCTTACCGACCCAGAGTCGGACTCCCTTCGTGCTGCCAGTCCTACTGTCACGCGTCTGCTTGCTACTGTCGTCACTGACCCCTCTTTTGAGTCCGCTGCTGCGTCTGCTCTTGTCGCTGAGCTCGTAGACTTTGCTGCTCGCTGCCGTCTAGACTACGCTGCTAGTCTTGTTGCTGAGTCTGCGTCTGTCTGTCCTCCGTCCGTCGGGGGTGAGTGTGCTCTTGGCACGGACGTCCTAGAGGACAGGCAGGAGGAGTTCCAGTGTCTGGCTGCTGCTTCACCTCATCTCGCGTCTGTACTGCTTGCTCCTGAGGGAGACCCGGATGCACTAGACATCCCGACTCCGCGCTCTTACGCGGAGGCCGTAGAGGGTCCCTACTCCTCTCAATGGCAGGCAGCTATGGATGCAGAGATGGCTTCCTGGAAGTCCACAGGCACCTACGTTGACGCGGTTCCCCCTCCTGGGGCGAACATCGTCAGTGGCATGTGGATCTTCAGGGTGAAGTGGCCGCCGGGCTCTCCACCTGTCTTCAAGGCGCGGTACGTCGCTCGTGGCTTCAGTCAACGGCAGGGAGTTGACTACTTTCAGACCTTCTCTCCCACCCCGAAGATGACCACTCTTCGGGTGCTGCTGCACATAGCCGCTCAGCGCGACTACGAGCTTCACTCTCTCGACTTCAGTACTGCGTTCTTGCAGGGGAGCCTGCACGAGGAGATGTGGCTGCGCCGTCCACCTGGCTTCACTGGGACTTTCCCTCCTGGCACCCAGTGGAGCCTCCGACGGCCAGTCTACGGTCTCCGCCAGGCACCACGTGAGTGGCACGACACACTGAGGACTACGCTTGCGGCCCTTGGGTTTGCTCCTTCTACTGCTGACCCGTCGCTGTTTCTGCGCACCGACACTTCACTGCCGCCGTTCTACATCCTCGTGTATGTCGACGACTTGGTCTTTGCCACAACGGACACTGCTGGACTCGCCTACGTGAAGTCCGAGCTGCTGAAGAGACACACGTGCACAGACCTGGGTGAACTGCGCAGCTACCTTGGCTTGCAGATCACTCGGGACAGAGCACGCCGCACCATTACCTTGACTCAGTCACACATGGTGCAGCAGGTCCTTCAGCGCTTCGGCTTCACGTACTCCTCGCCTCAGGCCACTCCTCTGTCTACTCGTCACTCGCTCTCAGCTCTGCCTTCGGATGAGTCCGTAGAGTCGAGTGGCCCGTACCCAGAGCTTGTTGGCTGCCTCATGTACCTGATGACCTGCACACGACCTGACCTTGCATACCCTCTTAGCATTCTTGCACGCTATGTTGCTCCTGGGAGACACCGACCAGAGCACATGGCTGTAGCGAAGAGGGTATTGCGCTACCTGTGCAGTACGTCGGGCATGGGGCTAGTGCTTGGAGGGCGGAGTCCAGTGGTACTTACAGGTCACGCGGACGCTTCTTGGGCTGACGACCAGGCTACGCAGCGGTCGTCACAGGGTTACACCTTCAGCCTTGGCTCCGGCTCTGTCTCGTGGCGGGCTACTCGCTCGTCTTCGGTTCTTAGCTCGAGTTGTGAGGCTGAGATCTACGCAGGGGCCATGGCTGCACAGGAGCTTCGCTGGCTCACCTACCTGCTGACTGACCTTGGAGAGCCGCCTCGTTCTCCTCCAGTGCTGTACGTAGACAACAAGGCCATGCTGGCCTTGTGTCGAGAGCAGCGTCTGGAGCACAGAACGAAGCACATTGCTCTTCGCTACTTCCTTGCTCGTGAGCTACAGCAGCGTGGACAGTTGCGGCTTGCGTACGTGGCCTCTGAGGCCAATACTGCTGATGTGTTCACCAAGGCACTCGCGCCTTGTGACCATCAGCGCTTCTGCCCCCAGCTGGGTCTTGTGCCTGTCTTGCCTCACTTGCTCTCCTCTTGACTTAACTTGTACTGTCACATATATATACCTGCTCTTGCTTGTCTAGCTTTATATATATATGTGTGTACTACTGCATGTGAACTGGCCTTGTGGCCTTGCTCTTGTGCTCGGACTGTGTGGTGACTTTGTGATCCACCCTGAGCTTTGCTTTGCTTTGCTTGACTGGTCTTGTGACCCGTTGTTCTCCCCCACTTTGCCTATGGGGGTGTGTCAGAACATATATGTAGCTTATGCTGTTGTGTAGGCTACAGTGGGGTATCCCATAGGGGGTACAACCCAATTAGGGTTTTGCTATTTGTACCCAACTCTTTCATAGTGCATTCATTCTCGTTCTATTTTCCACAGCCCTTAGCGGCCCGTCGCGCCCTCCTTAGCGGCCCCGTCGCGCCCTCCTTAGCGGCCCGTCACGCCGCCCCTAACGGCCCCGTCGCCGCCCCTGCCGGCCTCGTTGCCGCACTTGACGGCCCCGTCGCCGCCCCTTCCGGCCCCGTCGCCGTCCTTCCACGGCCCCGTCGCCGCCTCCCCCCTTTCAGCGGCCCCGTCGCCGCCCTTTCAGCGGCCCCGTTGCCGCCCTTTCAGCGGCCCCGTCGCCGCCTCTTAGCGGCTTCGTCGCCGCCCTTCAGCGGCTTCGTCGCCGCCCTTCAGCGGACCCGTCGCCGCCCTTCAGCGGCCCCGTCGTCGCCCCTTTCCGCGGCCCCGTCGCCGCCCCTTTCCACGGCCCCGTCGCCGCTCCTTCGCGGCAACGACGCCGCCCTTCACGGCCCCGCCGAGCCGCCTTTGCTGCCGAGCCGCCGAGCCACTGAGCCGCTGAGCCGCCGAGCCGCCGAGCTACCGAGCCGCCAAGCCGCCGAGCGTCCGAGCCGCCTTTGCCGCCGAGCCGCCTTTGCCACCGAGCCGCCGAGCCGCCTTTCCCGCCGAGCCGCCGAGCCACTGAGTCGCACTGCAGCTGAGACGCCGCCGCCTACCAGCCTGCCCCGGAGCGCCTCCCTTGCCTGGTAAGAGCAGCGCCTCTGCCACTGCACTGCCCTACCCCACTGTGCTCACTGCCTCTCTACTGCTGTCATGGCCACCCCTAGTGTTCTCACCTTTGACGCTGAGGGTCGGGCTGTTGACTTTGACGTCTGGGTAGATGATATGCAGCTCTTCCTACAGTGCGATAGGGCAGACAGTCTCTCCCTGTTTGACCTCACTTCTGGTGCCTCTACTGCCCCTGCTGCTGATGCTGATGCCACTGTTCGCTCACAGTGGGCCACGCGCGATGCTGCTGCCCGCCTTGCTGTGCGCCGCCACTTACCGACCGCTGAGCGTGCGCATTTTAGTCAGTACAAGAGTGCTGAGACCTTGTACGACGCTGTAGTTGAACCCTACTCTTCCCCTGCCACTGCTGCTCTTAGCCGCCTCATACTGCCATACCTCTTCCCTGACCTCGCCGCTTTTCCCACAGTCGCTGACCTCATTACGCACCTTCGCACTAGTGACATTCGCTACCACGCTGCGCTTCCTGCTGAGTTTTACGCCAAGAACCCCCCCCCCTATGTACATCACCCTCTACTACATAGTCACCCGTCTCTCTGACACCCTTCGCTCGGTCAGGGACCACTTTCTCTCTGTGTGCCCCACCACTCTCACCGTTGACCTCCTCGAGGAGCGCCTCCTAGCAGCAGAGAAGGGTATAGTCGCTGTAGGAGCCTCTCGTGGTGACCCTCGTACCCCTGTGTTTGAGAAGTGCTCCCCCTCCCCCCTCTTGCCCTCTGTTGCCTTTGCTGCTGCGTCCGACCTCGTTGGTCTTGAGTCGGTCGGTGCGGCGTCTGCCCCTAGCGGGAGACGCGACTCAGGCAAGGGCTAGGGGGGCAAGGGCGCTAGAGGAGCTGGCGGGGGCGGTGGAGGTGGCGGTGGAGGCGGCGGAGGGGGTGGGGGTGGCGGTGGGAGTGGTGGCGGGGGTGGGGGTGCTAGTGGCGGCAGTGGAGGCGGAGGAGGAGGCGGTGGTGGCGGTGCGGGCGGAGGTGGCGGAGGTGGAGGCAGTGGTGGAGGTAGCGGCGGTGAAGGTGGAGCTGGTCGGGGCGGCTCTACGCAGAGGGTCGGCCCCGGTGGTGGTCAGCGCCAGCAGCAGCAGCAGCAGTAGCACACTCGTGAGACCCCTTCCCCCCAGCAGCTTCGTGAGTGGTACACTGCTCGTCAGCGAGGTGGGGGTGCTGGCCCCTGTACCTACGTCCTCCGTACCAGCGACCGCGCGGGTGAGCAGTGTGGGGGTCCGCACTCCACCCAGCGCTGCTTTGGCCGTCTGACGGACGCTTGGCGTCACCAGTTCCCCGACGCTACTGAGATCCCTCGCTGGGGCGAGCTGTTTAGGGCGGGTGTTGCGATCTTTGATCTTGATTATGATGCTATTCTTGCTGCCATGTATGCTGTGACCATTAGTGATGAGGGTGACTGTTACCGGTGTTTTCCGCCTGACGCGGGCATTGAGGCTGCTGCTCTAGGTGCTGGTGAGGCTGCTGCTCTAGAGGCCAGTGAGTCTGCTGCCCCAGGTGCTGGTGAGTCTGCGCTCTCAGGTTCCGCGTCGGCTCCGGCCACCCACACCTTCACCCTTGACTCGGGTGCTTCCCGCTCCTTCTTTCGAGACCGCACCACACTCACGGCGCTTAGTCGGCCAGTGGTAGTCTCCCTGGCAGACCCCACTGGGGGTCCTGTCCTTGCCCAGTTCTCCACTGTCCTACCGTGTCCGGCGGCCCCTTCTGGCACCCTGTCAGGTCTTTACCTCCCCTCGTTCTCTACGAACTTGGTGAGTGGTGCTGACCTCCAGGATGCAGGGGTTCACCAGTTCACTCCTACGAGTCAGCGAGCGACCCACTGTACCTGTGCTCGGACGGGCCGTCACTTGGCCACGTTTACCCGTCAGCCGGGGTCGAGCTTCCGTGTCTGGGGATCTCGGGCGTTTGTCCGCGACTTGTCTGCGGACAAGCTGTCCCCTCGTGCTGTTCCCTGCGTCTTCCTTGGCTTCCCCCCTGACGCGCCACGCTGGCAGTTCTACCACCCCACCTCGCGCCGTGTTGTGGCCTCCTAGGACGTCACGTTTGACGAGTCGGTTCCCTACTACCGTCTCTTCCCCTACCGCACTGCGTCCCTCCCCCCCCCCCGCCGCTCTTCCTTATGCCAGGTCCCCCTCCGGTAGACCCCCTCCCCCCTCAGGGTCCTGCCCCCTCAGGTGTGTCCCAGGTAGACGCAGTCGAGCCTGTCAAGGTAGCTGTTGACTCTGGTGCTGCTAGGGGTACTGAGCCTGCGGGTGCGGGGTCTGGGGGTGCTGAGCCTGGGGGTGCTGCGACAAGGGGTGCTGAGCCTGGGGGTGCTAAGCGTGGGGGTGCTGCGACTGGGGGTGCTGAGCCTGGGGATGCCTCGCCTGGGGGTGCTGAGCCTGGGGGTGCTGAGCCTGGGGGTGCTGCGTCTGGGGGTGCAGAGTCCGAGGGTACTGGTCCTGCTCGTGTGGCGCCTGGTGGTGCTGGGCCAGGAGGTTCTTCAGGTGCTTCGTCCCGGCGGGAGCTACTCTCTCCACAGGAGCTGCGTGAGTGGTTTGCCCGGCCCTGGAGGCGTACTGTTGGAGCTAGAGGTGCTCCGGGAGCTGGAGATTCTGCTGCTGCTGAGGGTGCTGGTGCCACGGGTCCCGGAGGTGCTCGTACTGCGAAAATTGGAGCTGCTGGGCCTGCGGGTGCTTCTAGTACTGGAGCTGGTGGTCCTTTGAGCGTCGGTGCTACTGGGGGTGCTGGAGCTGGTGGACCTGCTGTGTCTTCTGGTGGCCCGGCTGGAACTGGAGCTGTTGGAGGTGTTGGCGCTGAGGGTGCTTCTGGTCCTGGTGCCTCTGAGGGTGGTGGAGTTGGCGCTGCTGGAGCTGGGGGTGCTGCTGGCGCTGGTACTGTCGTTCGGGGTGCTGGTGCTATCCCTTCTGGTGCTGGTGGTGCTGAGCGGCCGCGGCCGTACTTCGTTCCGCTCCTTGAGCATGTTCTCGGTCTTCCGCCCTCTGCTAGTCCGGCTCCTCCCTTAGAGTGTCCACCGCCTGTCCAGTCCGAGTCACAGTTACAACCTACCTCTCCTCTGCCTGCTCCTTCTCCCTACACTGGTCCTACTGGAGGTCTTCCTGAGCGTCGTGAGCCTGCGTCTCGTCCTGCGTCGCCTGTCCGTGCTGCTCGTACTAGTCGTCGTGGTTCGCGTCAGTGTCCTCCTCCTGTCCCCGGCACGCACCGGATGTCTCTGCTTCCGTCCACTGCTCCTCCGCGTGCCCCTTTGCCTTCTCCTCCTGAGTCCTCTCTTCCTGCTCTTCCTGACCCGGAGTCGGACTCCCTTCGTGCTGCCAGTCCTACTGTCACGCGTCTCCTTGCCACTGTGGTCACTCACCCTTCCTTTGAGTCCACTGCTGCGTCTGCCCTAGTTGCTGAGCTTGTCGACTTCGCTGCTCGCTGTCGCCTAGACTACGCTGCTAGTCTTGTCGCTAAGTCTGAGTCTGTCTGTCCTCCGTCCGTCGGGGGTGAGTGTGCTCTTGGCACGGACGTCCTTGAGGACAAGCAGGAGGAGTTCCAATGTCTTGGAGCTGCTTCACCCCATCTCGTGTCCATATTACTTGCCCCTGAGGGAGACCCGGATGCACCAGACATCCCGACTCCGCGCTCTTACACGGAGGCGATAGAGGGTCCCTACTCCTCTTAGTGGCAGGCAGCCATGGACACAGAGATGGCTTCCTAGAAGTCCACAGGCACCTACGTTGTAGAGGTTCCCCCACCTGGGGCGAACATCGTCAGTGGCATGCGGATTTTCAGGGTGAAGCGGCCGCCGGGTTCTCCGCCTGTCTTCAAGGCGCGTTACGTAGCTCGTGGCTTCAGTCAGCGACAGGGAGTTGACTACTTTCAGACCTTCTCTCCCACCCCGAAGAGGACCACTCTTCGGGTACTGCTGCACATAGCCGCTCAACGTGACTACGAGCTTCACTCTCTTGACTTCAGCACTGCTTTCTTGCAGGGCAGCCTGCACGAGGTGATCTCGCTGCGCCGCCCACCTGGCTTCACTGGGACTTTTCCTCCTGGCACCCAGTGGAGCCTCTGGCAGCCAGTCTACGGTCTCCGCCAGGCACGACAACTGAGGACTACACTTGCGGCTCTTGGGTTTGCTCCTTCTACTGCCAACCCGTCGTTGTTTCTGCGCACCGACACTTCTTTGCCGCCGTTCTACATCCTCGTGTATGTCGACGACTTGGTCTTTGCCACAACTGACACTGCTGGACTCGCCTACGTGAAGTCCGAGCTGCAGAAGAGACACACGTGCACAGACCTTGGTGAACTGCGCAGCTACCTTGGCTTGCAGATCACCCGGGATAGAGCACGCCGCACCATTACCCTGACTCAGTCACACATGGTGCAGCAGGTCCTTCAACGCTTCGACTTCACGTACTCCTCGCCTAAGGCCACTCCTCTGTCTACTCGCCACTCGCTCTCAGCTCTGCCTTCGGATGAGTCCGTAGAGCCGAGTGGCCCGTACCCAGAGCTTGTTGGCTGCCTCATGTACCTGATGACATGCACACGACCTGACCTTGCATACCCTCTTAGCATTCTCGCACGCTATGTTGCTCCTGGGAGACATCTCTCTGAGCACATGGCTGCAGCGAAGAGGGTGTTGCGCTACTTGTGCAGTACGTTGGGCATGGGGCTAGTGCTTGGAGGGCGGAGTCCAGTGGTCCTCACTGGTCACGCAGACACGTCTTGGGTTGACGACTTGGCTACGCAGCGGTTGTCACAGGGTTACACCTTCAGCCTTGGTTCCGGTTCTGTTTCGTGGCGGTCTACCCGCTCTTCTTCTGTTCTCAGCTCCAGGTGTGAGGCTGAGATCTACGCAGGGGCCATGGCTGCACAGGAGCTTCGCTGGCTCACCTACCTGGTGACTGACCTAGGAGAGCTGCCTCGTTCTCCTCCAATTCTGTACGTAGACAATAAGGCCATGCTGGCCTTGTGTCGGGAGCACAAGCTGGAGCACAGAACGAAGCACATCGCTCTTCGCTACTTCCTTGCTCGTGAGCTGCAGCAGCATGGTCAGCTGTGCCTTGCTTACGTGGCCTCTGAGGCCAACACTGCTGATATCTTCACCAAGGCACTCGCGCCTTGTGATCATCAGCAATTCTGTACTCTATTAGGTCTTGTGCCTACCTTGCCTCACTTGCTCACTTCTTGACCTTGCTTGTACTGTTACATATATATCTACCTGCTCTTGCTTTTTTAGCATTATATATATGTTATCAGGCATGTGAACTGGCCTACTGGCCTTGAACTTGTGCTCAAAATGTGAGGTGACGTTGTGATCCACCTTGAGCTTGTTTTGCCTTGCTTTGCTTGACTGGTCTTGTGACCCCTTGTTCTTCCCCACCTTGCCTATGGGCTTGTGTCAAACTTATATGATCTAGCCTGTGTAGGCTGTAGCGGGTCAGAAACTAAGGGGTACATAATTCTAGGGTTTCATATTCGTATCACTTTCATTCCTTAGTCAATTCATTCTCGTTCTAAGTTTCTCAAATTGAAGTTCTCGCAAAACATTGTGACGTGAAACCATCGGCTGCAAACATAATAAACTGCAGGGTCTGCACAATGAAACTGAATGTTGACATAATAAATCACGACATTGTCTTACCAAAGGCAACTACCATCGTGGGATTTCAGGATGAAAATACATGTGTAAAAACAGCCGACCCGCAAGAAACAAACGAGGTGCGTGTCTAACTTATATGCTATAGTCAGTTTAGGCTGTAGTGGGGTAGTCAATATGTGGTAAAACACTTTAGGGTTTCTTACTTGTACTCCTCATGCTGCTCAATGCCATCATTCCTTCCTCAGATTCTCACATGGTATCAGAGCAGGTTCCCTAGTGGGAACGCTTCCTAAGGGCCCACCACTAATTTTTTTTTTTATGCCCGGAGCGCGCTTCTCTCCTGCCCGAGTCGCGCCCCGTGTGCACTCCCTCCCGTCGCGTCCCTAGCCCTTAGCGGCCCGTCGCGCCCTCCTCAGGCCCCTAGCGGCCCCTTTCGCGGCCCCTCGCGGCCCCTCTCACGGCCCCGTCGTCGCCGCCCTTCGCGGCCACCTTGCCACCCTTAGCAGCCCCGTCGGCTCCCTACCGGCCCCGTCGCCGCCCTACCGGCTCCGTTGCCGCCTTACCGGCCCCACAGCCGACCCTAGCGGCCCCGTCGCCGCCCTGCCGGCCCCGTTGCCGACCCTAGCGGCCCCGTAGCCAACCCTACCGGCCCTGTCGCCGCCCCTACGCGGCCCCGTCGCCGCCCCTAGCGGCCCCATCGACGCTTCCCTCCCTATGCGGCCCCGTCGCCGCCCCTACGCGGCCTCGTCGCCGCCCCTACGCAGCCCCGTTGCCGCCCCTAGCGGCCCCGTCGCCGCTCCCCTCCCTACGCGGCCCCGTCGCCGCCCCTACGCGGCCACGCCACCGCCCCTAGTGGCCCCGTCGCCGCCTCCTTCCCTACGCGGCACCGTCGCCGCCCCTAGCGGCCCCGTCGCCGCCCCTAGCGGCCCCGTCGCCGCCCCTACGCGGCCCCGTCGCCACCCCTAGCGGCCCCGTCGCCGCCTCCCTCCCTACGCGGCCCCGTCGCCGCCCCTACGCGGCCTCGTCGGCGCCTCTACGCGGCCCTGTCGCTGCCCCTAGCGGCCCCGTCGCCGCTCCCCTCCCTACGCGGCCCGGTCGCTGCCCGTATCGGCCCTGTCGCCGCCCTTACCCGGCCTCGTTGCCGTCCGTAGCGAGCAGCCGAGCCGGCGAGCCGTCCAGCAGCCAAGCCGCCCCTGGCGCAGCTGCCACTGCAGCAGCCGCCCCTGGAGCAGCCGCCATTGTAGCAGCCGCCCCTGGAGCAGCCGCCACTGCAGCAGCCGCTCCTGGAGCAGCCACCACTGCAGCAGCCGCCCCTGGAGCAGCCGCCACTGCAACAGCAGCCCCTGGAGCAGCCGCCCCTGCAGCAGCCGGCTCTGGAGCAGCCGCCACTGCAACAGCCGCCCCTGGAGCAGCCACCTCTGCAGCAGCCGCCCCTGGAGCAGCCGCCACTGCAGCAGCCGCCCCTGGAGCAGCCACCCCTGCAGCAGCCGCCCCTGGAGCAGCCGCCCCTGCAGCAGCCGCCCCTGGAGCAGCCGCCCCTGGAGCAGCCGCCCCTACAACCGCCGCCGTCGTATGCCTGCCCTTCTCGCCACTGGTGAGCAC